TCTTGTTTTTGCTCCTACTTGCCCGCCCTTCCCGGGGAGGCCGCTGGCCACGACCATGCCAATCTCTTTCCCTGCTGCCTGCCTGCCTGGGTGGCCTCCAGCTCACCGTCCTGTGAGGCCTGTGGCCTCCCGCCAGGGCTGTCCTCAGGGGCCTGGATCCCCCTAGTTTATCGACCGCCCTTGCCGCCCCACATGTGTCCCTGCGGCCTGGGGATGGTCCGGAGGGTTGGGGGATCGGTGCCCTTGGTTCACCCAGCCCAGCCCTAGGGCGGTTGCCCCGGTGGCCCTGCCAGGCATGGGGCTTGGGAGGGGATACGATGGAGCCGGCACAGGGAGGGGGCAGGAGACTCTGGGTGACTCGGGGCAGGAGGGGGTGCCCCAGAGGTTCAGAATCCTGGGCACACAGTGGGCTGAGCGGACAAGTCGCAGCCTCAGGGGGACCTCCCGTCCTCCCCACTGGCACTGGATCTTTCTGGGCCTGGCTCTGCTGCCTCCCACCCCCATTCAGCTGGTGGCTTCTAGATGCTTCCAGAGTGTGCTTGGCCCCTTTGCCTCTATGCCATTGGGCCCAGGGGGAGCAGTAGAGTGGCTGGGGCTGGGGGTGGGACTTCCCCTTTCTGTGTCTTGCTTGCCCCGTGCCTCCCAGTGAGTGGCCGCCCTGAGCCTGGGGCCAGCAGCTCAGCCCCAAGTGGAAGTCAGGCAGGGCTCCTCTGCCGTTTTCCTTTCCTTTATGCCATCAGAGTCAGGAGTGGCCTATCCTCATGAAGCCACAGGTTCTACACCTCTTGCACTCTCTTCTTGAAAGTGGTAGCGGCCCAACAGACACCCTTCCTACCTCCACCGCAGCTGAGGGTCAAGGCAAGGGTCCTTCTTGGCCGGCCTTGGCGCTGTCACCTTTTGGACCTGTCTGGGGTCGAAGTCAAGGGCCTTACCAGGACCACGGGTTCTGGGCCCTGGCCCTGCATTTCCTCTCCACCGTCTCCTTCTCCACTGGCCGCCTCGACACCCTCCCAGCCCCCTCTGTTGGTTCTCCTCCCTGGTCTGGCAGGGCCTGGGGGCAGCGGAGGAAAAAAATCCAGTATCTTCTTGGACAGTCCCCAGAGTGGCCTCTTGCTGGGACCTTGGGCAGCTGCTGCCCCCTGCTGTGTGTCTGAGTACTGCTGGAGCCCTGTGGGGGACCCCAGATTATTTGGGAGCTTTTGAAAGCGGGGCCACAGTGGTCTCTCAGAGCTCTGGAGAACATTTAAGTGGAGGCCTGGAGGCTCTTGAGGCCCATGAAACCTTCCTAATCCTTCTGGTTCCAGTTGGGGCACCCAGTGCACTTGGGTGTGTCCAGAGTAGTTGGAATCCCTCATGGGGTTCAAAGCCCTGGGGGTTGGACAGATCACAGGATGAGCTTGGCAGAGCTCTGAGGAGCCCTGGAACAGGGAGGGAGTACTCCAAGGCCCACGGAGCCCTGGGGATTGGTGACCAAGCCCAAGTGGGAGGCCTCAGGAATCCAGGGGGAGCTCAGGGAGGTGGTGGGAGCAGAGCCCTGGGGAAGGCCGTGGGCCCTCAGGAGCAGGGAGTCTCTGAGCCCTGGGGTAGGAGTCTTGCAGCCCTTGTCATTCCCTGGGGAAATGGGGTGGGGACTCCGGGAGCCCTCTTCCATCCAGTCTTGGGAGCTCTTTTGGAATGAATGAAAAGGGGCAAGCTACGTTGGGGGTGGCCGCTGTTCCTTCCTTCCCTCTCTTCCCTCACGCCAGACACCACAGGGGTTGCCAAGTACACCCAGCTGCCTCCTCTTTACTCCTCACCTGTAACAGATCCAGGACCTGACCTAAGGCCTAGAAAGCACCATTTCGTCCAGATACCTGGATATCTCTTTTCCCTCCTTGGGATGCCCCAAGCCCAGCTCCACATCCCCCATCTCCCTGACACCGGCTATTACTCCAGAGCTTTGGGATGTCAACCTTGCCTCCACCCCAGGTCCCATATAGGTTCCTGCTAGGCCCCATCTGCCTCTGTCCAGCCACAATCCCAGGTAGTGAGTGCTTCCTGGGGGAACTGGACTTTGGTGAGTTCAGTTCTTCCTGTCAGTGTACTTGGTTTTTATCAGCTGCTGAAACAGGAGGCTGTCACTGCGTCCTTCTAGGGTCCTGGTAGTAGCAACCTGTTTGTTCTGCCCCCCACGTACAGGCTTATTAATGGGACCATTGGGTCCCTAAGGTGGACCTGTGAGGAGGTGGCATCCCCTGCGCATGCCTACCACCTGCCGTGGACCATCCAGGTCTCGCCTGCTGCAGGGTCAGCCATCAGTCTGTTGCATTGGGCTTGGGATGGTGAGGGGCAGAGGGCAAGGGCTTGGGGAGTCCACACAGCAAGTGGCTGGGCTCTGGGGGTGAGCTAGGTAAGAGGAGCTTATAACAAACAAGAAAGGCTGAAACTGAGTGGTAAGAAAATTAGAAGTGCTTCGCTCTTTTCTGCATGTTTTCAACACACAAGGACCATGCACTATTTTAGGACCAAAAATATACGTGAGGAGAGACTAGGATGCAGCCAAGATAAATGGTCAAGAGTAGCCAGGGAGGGTCCCAGCCCCAGCCCTGCCTCCACGGGCGCATGTGCAGGCACTGCATGGGAGCTGTGCCAAGTGTGGGAGGCTGGGCTGTCCCACTACCTGCAGCAAGGAGCCAAAGGCAAGGGGGACTAATGCCAGCACCCCACCCCTTGCTGGGCCTCTGTTTCCCACCTGCCCGTGTGCAGTGGATGGCAGCCCCTCTGTGCTTTCCCGCCCTCTGCCGGCAGCATAGAGCCAGGCGTGCACAGCAACATGTGGCATTCTGTCTTGGGTTTTTTTTTTTTTTTTTTTTTT